ATAAAAGAATTGGCTGAAGCAGTAAGAAAATATGGAGTGAATGCAAATTTTACTTTAGCACAGCTAGACAGACTGGCAAGAGATTCTATGACGCCTACTGACTGGCAAACTATTGTAAAGGCTATGCTTAATAGCATGGGCCAATTTTTAGAGTGGAAGGTGCTATGGTATGAGGCTGCACAAGAGCAAGCCCGAATCATATATACCTGTGCCTGTAGCCACGCCAGGTACCCTATCTTTATTTAGGCATAAAAGAGATTTTGGCATATCTGCCGCCATTGCAGTCATCATTGCAGGAGCAGCAATTACAGGGGCTACCGTGGCATCCGCCATGACATTATCCACATTGGTGCAGACAGCCACTTCAGTGTCTGCTGCTCTAGATTATCAAGCCTCTGCTAATATGCAGCTCCAAGGAGGTTTAATGCTAGTCAATCAAAGAATTGACCTCTTGCAAGAACAAGTGGACATATTATGGCAATTAGCACAATTGGGATGTGAACAGATAACTCCCAGGCCTTTGTATCACTTTTATCCAATATGATAATTTCACCCTTGCTGCTAACCTCTCTAGAAGTCTTTCACAGCATTTGAAGCTCAACTGGACTGCAGATTTCGAAGATACCTTAGTAAAATTAAGGGTAGCCATCATCCAGATCAATTCTACGCGAATCGATCTCTTGCTAACAGAAGGATTGGGCTCCTGGATCCAGTCTGCTATCTCCTACTTCAAGGAATGGGTGGGGGTGGGAATGTTTGGATTCTTTATAATTTGTGGGATGCTCTTTGTGTTATGGTTGGTCTGCAAAATGAAAATAAGATCTAATAAGCAAAAGGCAGTTGTTGCACAGGCCCTCGCAGTGCTAGAGGCCGGATCACCCATAGATATTTGGCTTGAGATACTTAAATAATTAATATATATATACAGGTCGCTGAATTCTGTTGCTTTGCACCATTTGGGGTGAAGACCCATTGCACAAATGAAGAACAGGATTCTAGCAGTTCAAAGGGAATGTCGAGCAAAGCATCGCAGTAGATGATACATAGATGTTATCATCTATGAGAATATGCCTAATTGCACAGAGGTCGGGATGCATGAACCTCTCTCTCGTAAAAGCTCCCTTCAGTGTTTAGGGGCCACTCTGCACCCTACAGAGAGATTAGGCCTCTATTCTCTTCCCTAAAGAATGGCCTGTCTTTAAATAAAAGAAAAGGGGGACATGTGGAGAGCCACAGCCTCCGCCGCCATTACAAGATGGCGCCGGTATCCGGACCTTCTTAAAAGTAAACATCCTGCCACACCCATAAGGGGCGTGCACAAGAGCCTGCTCTCCCTCGCCTCCTCCCGTGGCGTGATCTTCAGCAACCAATCCGCTTCTTATGATCTCCAGCAACCAATCCGGTTCTTATACGTCATAAATGGGACCTTTGGGGCATATATAAGCAACAGCTCTCCCACTTCTCGGCGTCTTTGGTCTTCAGTCTTCAAATAAACTGCTGCAGAAGGATCCTGACTTGTCCTCCCGCGTCGTTCTTGCTGGCGAGACGGAAAGCGGTCGGGGACACAAACCAACATGATGTCCATCTATAATGGGGTCAGCTAGAGTGGGTACAGGCACACATATGTCCTGGGATTGGGTCGGGAATGAAGTGGGTACCACCTGGATAACACAGACCTGACTATAACATCCTAATGAGGGGAGGGGCTGGGCCAAGAGGGTTCATTGCAGTCTTAGCGCTAAAAAGTATGAGGGTTAGGAGATGATGGAGGGGAGTTAGGAAGGGGACTGGATGATGTTAGCTTCAAGACCACCCTGTAAGCTTCAGTCATCATCCTCCCCTCCCAAGGGATGGGGGAGCCAGTCCGGGGTTGTCAACTGGATCCTGAAATCATTCAGTCTTCATTCTGTTCCATCGGATAGCTGTGAGCCTTGGGACAAGTCAGTAGCTGCTGGTTTCTCATCTGTAAAATGGGAATTAATGGTATCTATCACTTCCTGTGCATATTGAAATAAACAGATGAAGGCAGGTATCAAACACTGAGAATGTAGCGCAGGACCCTGAGACATGGATATGTTATTGTTCCGGTGCCAGGTGGGAAGGAATCAGGCTGTATTTGCACGTACTTCCCTTCAGGTGGATGCAGGGCACTGAGAACAGCAGCTTCCTCCTTCATCCCATTTCTCTCTACCCTGTTGGTTTCCACTGAGGCCATCCCAACTCCCCCAAACCATCACCAATGGTTATCAGAAGTTTGTCCCATGTACCACCAATTTCCCCCTCAGACAGCCGCACAGTCTTCTTCCTGGTTACTCTCCAGTGCCTGCCAGTAGTTGAGTAGGTTGTGGGGCGTGACATAATGGCAGGTCACGATTTTCTGAAAACGACACACGGAGAAACGTAAGCCACCTGGGAAGAAGGTCTGCTTGGAGTGGAGCTTCTCGGGTCTGATCTTCAGCTTGGCCAGGCAGAGTCCCACAAACACATCCTCTAACTTGAGGAATGGAATGCTTTCTGAGACCCTGTAAACCTCCTTTGCTACGTCAGTGGACAAGACGTAGCCAGTGCCTGAGCAGAAAGGTGGGTACCTGTCCCATGGATATTCAAACTTACTTACAAACCACTTGCTGAACTTTGACCTAATGGCAACATAGTTGATCATTAAGAAGCCTGTGAAGAATCTGGTTGTTTTGTTTTTCCTTAGCAGCAGCTCCGTCAGATAGCCAACATTGACAAACATGTCGGAGTCAGTTTTCATGACAAAAGTCGCCTGAGGACAAAAGTGGTGGACCCACTCCATGCCCATCATGGTCTTCAGGGTCAAGTTGTAGTAGACGTCCTTGAAGTCCTTCTGGATGATGTCTCGGTGCTCCTGGCTCTCCTGGGCCGTGGCGGCCATCTCATCCGTGCTGTCTGAGGCGCCCAGGAGGAAGAGGGTCCTCACCTGCTGCCCT